ATTAAATATTAAGTGAGTGTGTGTATGTGTGCTTTTCTTTTTTTTTTTTTTTTTTTTACGTTTTGACGTGGGCAGGGGAAAATCTTCTAAAGACACAGCGGGGCCGCAACCCGTACAAGGTGTGGGATTCATAGCGTAGCTATGCCTACCACTAAAAAATCCTCGCTTGTCCTCCCTATTCCTTCCCGGCGGAACTCGCCGTCAGGCATTGCATCCGGAGAAGGAAGGATGGCCTTTTCGCAACGTCACGAAATATTACGGGAGTCTTCTTCGCTAATGCTGCTCGGAGCGGAGCGTCTTCCGGACCTTTGCGGCATAGGTGCGCTACGCGCATCCATATAACTCTTGTGTCAGCAGCATCTAGTGACATGGTCTCAGGGGTCACTTCTTTGGAAGGAGTCTGTGAAGTTCTTTACTTTCCACTGAAGGTGGACAATGAAAGAACAGCGTTCTACATTTCAATGCACCGGGAAACACCTTGGCATGAGGAGCTATGTCCAACCGGAATCGGAGCTGATCCTGCCGTAACATCATGCTGTCAGCATCTGAGTTAGATAAAATCTACTCTCCAGTTCCTTTGAATCACGTCATGATGTCGGGAATGACCGCGAAATGTCCATCACGCCCAGTTTGATGATTGCATCGTCGTGCATTGGTCATTGTCACCTTCTTTCGTTGTTAATGGTATCAGTTTGAGGCCCTCCCGTTTGCGCAAAGAGTCTAGCTTCTCTTCCTGCGCAAAGAGGTCGTGGAGGCATATCTGCTACAAAACAAGCATGATAGGATAACGGTGCGACAAAACGCCTCGAGCAACCGCAAGGCGGGACATTCTATGCACCGACTTAGCCCAAGGGGGGGTAAACTGACTGACATGCCAATGGCATGAGCCCCAAACGGGGGCTGCGTAGAGAAGATGGAATTTACTAGCTAAGTCAGCAGCCTCCGGGCTTCTTGCCCAGGAACCCCGCTATTAGGGCATATGCGTGTCAATGCGGGATGCCTACGAGATGCTTTCTCGGAGACATTGCGCAGGTGCTCGTCAAAGCGCAGTCCTGCGTCAATATGCACTCCCAAATACTCTTGACAGCTGGGCGAGGATATTTTGCAGCCTCCTACATTAAGAGTAATACTCTTCTACTTTTCTGCCGCACCAGCACAGCCTCTGTTATGGGCGGCATCTGGAAGCTACACCGACGTAAGCCACCGCGCGGATCTCCGTCAAGCCTCGTTGCAACCTGGTGAGCTTGTTCGATGTATTTGCCGCAACGGACAATTGCAAACATCGTCAGCCGATTCATATGTTTTGGGTCTTCCGCAATCGAGCTTCAACACGGCGTCAATACATATGTTCCAAAATCGGCCCAAGTAACCGAGCCTTGTGGGAACGCCTGTGAACCGTATAAGATTTACTCCAGACCAGTTTCATATAGGAGGACTATCTCCTTAAAGTATTTTTACCAAGTTCGAGATATACCTTGGAACTCAAGAGTTTTGTAGGCGCAGAAAGAATGGAGCTCACCTTGCAGTGTAAAAGCGTTTTTCACGTCTAGGGTCAACTAAGGCAAATACTTCATAGGAGCGCTTTCCATCGGTTTGGCCTTAATGGCCTTACGTGCGATGGTCGATGACTACGACTACTTAATAGCATCTACCGTGGATCCTCGCTTTTCTAACAGCGTAGCTGATTATCAGACAATCCTTGAGGCCCTCTGTAAATGATGCAACTACGATTGCAGATAAACCGCTCCAACACTTTGCCTGCTTGGTGTCCAGTAAGCAATTGGGCCCGATTAGGCTGCGGAGCAGTAGGTGCTGAATCGCCTTGGAAGAAGGACTAGTGAATGCTGCTTCAATCGAGGGGGAAATTCCTTCGTATGCAATGCATTATATGCGTGCAAGAATAGATCGGGCCGAGTTTAATAGCGGTTAATTGCTACATTTGGTACCGCGTCTAAATCGCGGGGGCTTGCAATCTTGGACTTGGGCGCAAGCTCTGGAAAGTTCATCCAACGTGAACTGCCGAAACCTGCTTAGATTCTTCAGACAATCTTCGGTTGTAACATATCTACGTGGCGAGGAAACAAGGTAGTACAATTTTCCCAAGAAACCGGGCAAGTGGGTGGTGCCTGAAATCCGCTGAGTCTGGCCGTCACCACTTATAACGGGCGTCAGCGGGTCAGCATCCACTTCCTCCCCTAGCTCTCTCAGCAACGACATTACTAATCTAATGTCTTTTGTGAAAGCTCTTCTGGCGTCAGATGTTGCTTTTTGAGAATTCGTTAAGTTTGGGCGGCTCAGACGCGCTGTGCCAATTACGGTGTTCGGTGCATTCCTGCCGCAGGTTCGCGATCCGTAGTCCAGAGTACACTGGAGACGGGTTCTTTTTTTTTGGACCTTTGTCATTGAACGCATGCAAAGCGTAAATACCCGGTTCATAAGTTCTAAGCATAATTCAGAGTCACGGCCAACATATCGTTCAGGGTTGCCTCCATCATGGAATGAAGAATCAGATCGAACGTTCTGTGGTTTCAAACAGCTTTGTGTGTGGTGTGGGTGTGGTGTGTGTGTGTGTGTGGTGCGCGCGCCGTGTGTAGGTAGTTTAACGTACAAAATGTGTAGAATAAATATAACTATTTAATAAATTTTTGTTACAACTAGAAATTTGCATTCAATAGCTATACGCTCAATTCTTTTTAGCAACAAAAAACTGATTATTGTACGTGAGTAATAATAGAAAAGCATTAAGGCGAGGCTATTGTAATTAAGGCAGGGAGGAGAAAAAATTCTCTGTAATGTTCGAGAGCTCTGCGCCGGAGCTTGATGTGGTGAGCGTGGTGCCAAGATTGCACAGCAAGCTTTGAACTAAAGGATGCTAGCGGGCGTCATCCGAATATCATCAAGGCCTCCTAATGCGCATGGCTGTAGCAATACCGAAGGTGTGGCAAATAGGAAGGCCAACTTTTATCCGCATTTTGTTGGCAAATAGAGGCGGGAATTCGAATTGTAGTTTTCGAATTCGAATGAAATTTTTTTCGTTAACTTCTCCCGTTTCATTTCTCCAAATATTAACATAGCAACCATGAATGTGGCTTGGTGCAAGAAAGGCCGACGTAAATATTGTTGGTTGACAAGAATGGGTGGTTTTTTCTTTTGGCGAACATTCATCTGTTAGATTCTTCTGTGTATTACGTTATTTCTGGTAAGGTAACTAGTTTTAAAACGCTATTATCTTAATTTGATCATACAGTTGTTTCAAATTTGAATTTTTAAACATTTCTTAATGACATTGCCTTTTGACAATTGAAACATAGGCTTGGACCTGAATAAGCCCACTTGTGGTTGTACGAAGGGGTGGACTGGAGTATTAATATTGCCTTTTATTTAATGTAATTAAAAATCAATATATGTCTGAAGTTTTATAAATCGTTTTTTTTTTTTTGTTTCAATAATAAGACAGTAGCATAAGCAATGGCTAATGGTTTTGAAAGATATACAATAGAAATGTTTGTGCAAATAGTGGACACTCCTATTGGCTGTGTAGAACAGTCAGTTTGAACATTATTCCAAATATTTTTTTTTCAGAATCTATTAAAACAAACATGAATGTAAGAATAAATATTTCTTATAGTAGAGACAATCAAGTATGAACATGTAGGAGCAAAAACTATAAATCGCATAAAGTAAGAAAGGTAACTGATTAATGTTCCGGACATATGAGTGCATTTAATTAGTATTTTGTCCCTTCTTTATGTTTAAGAAATGCTTCATAGTATATTTATGTTGGTTGGAATATGAATAGTAGATAATATGAAAAGAAATTGCTATCCCAAGGATTATGTCAACATTGGTGCTATAAAGGGGCCATATTTTATACTATTTCTATGAAGTTTTTCATATCAGGAGATAAGATCGACTTTAAACTAGGCTTTTCTCAACTGGAAGAAGTAATTTAAAGTAAATATTTGCACCTACAACGCCATACTCAAAATGGGAAAATTTGGTTTCTTTTTTTGTTTTTGCACAAGCCACAGATAGACAAATTTTGTTATAATCGGGAGTATTAATATTTTTTTAGAA